TGAGTGATCCTGCCAGAACCAGTACTAGCTTGGGATCCCAGCTCCTGAAGTCTCTGCAGCTTCTTTTCATGCTGGATTCACCTCTGAATCAGTTTCCATATAATGCTCTTCACCTGCCTTAGCTACTGAGCTATAAATGAAAGATGACACTGCAGCTGATCACCTGTGGAAATAGCTAATTCATCCCTCTTTATCAGAACTATTCTTGAAGGTGCCTTATAGTCCTAAATTTATACAAGGTCTAAACATGCCAGGGGTTCACTTTTTCCCTTGGGAGATTATTTCACAACTCAAAGCACCTGTGTCATGGAGGATTCCACACAGTTTAGTCTGACTTTATTTTTAATGACAGGTGATGTTTCCACCTTACACTGGAAAAAATACACTGGAGTGTATTAACTTCCTACAGTACTTTCCTTTTGATTCAAAAGCTAACATTACCATTCAACACAAACCTCACTCACATCTGCTTCCCAGGGGTTGGTTGTCGCCAGTTTCCCTACATCATCTTCCTCTTTGGAACTATAGTTCTGCCAGCTGACATATCAAATGCATTTCCCTTGTGTTCATAAGCTCAGTAAAGGGGACATATCTTCTTGTAGACATAATGCCTGGTTTCATATTTGCAGGGTCATTTTAAAGATTTCCATCAACCTGATCAGCTAATGGCTGCATTTATCTGGAGAATGGTCTGAGCTTAAAACCAAAAAATCAGAGACTTTCACGGGCTCAGAACTGATTTTATTTGGAAACTTGAAAAACTTTATTGGCTTCCTGAAAACCAGTAAATAAAACAAATGAGTATTGGTAGAAAAATATTATTGGAAAAAGCTTTCAAAATTCTGTGTTTTGCTCATTTTCCCATCCTTCTGTATTAGCTAACCACTGCTTTTCAATCTCATTCCCCTACAGCTGGCTCTTGGCCACCCTGCCTGCTGCCCAGTAGAATACGCAGTGGTTTTTTCACGTGGGAAGACATCAGTCCCTGTTCGTGCACTTCTTCCAGAACAACCAGGGCTGCTGACCCCATGGCTGCATGAGGACTCTTGGCCACTTTGGCTCTTGCAGGTTTTCATGCCTGGTTTGACCTTCACTCTTGCTTGCTGGTGGTAGGAGTTGGAGTGGCCAAACCAAATGCTTCCTGCAGAGCCTTACAAGACACAGGTAATGTGGAGGTCCCGATAAGCTCTCTGAGAAGAAAGCAACAACTCAGAAATGGAGGTGTGGCAAACAGAGGTTTGTCATCTCTGTTCTTTCAGTGTGACAAGAATGGACTCAGATACTGCCTCGTCTCAGTACAGCGTACATGCATTTTTCCACAGCTTGTCTTAATCTTCAATAATGAATCTTGGAGGAACCAAAGGGAATTTTTCCAAGATCCTCCTAAGGATTTAATATGCAATACAATAACCCCTCAAAATGGGCCCTTATTATCAGTGGCCTGTGATGATGGTGTGATAATTTTCCACTCTGGGATCAAGGATGTTTCAGAGATGGCAAATTATTTTTCTCTGAGTTTGGCATTGCATGTCAAACTGGAAAAAGCACCTGCAGACCATTTGAGGGAACAAATCAGTGGTTCTCATTTACCGGTCTAGGTGCTAGCAGACCTGGGGACTCCTCTGACAACATGTAAGCAGTAGACAGCATTCCTGATTAGGACTGCAATTGCAGATGAGTGCATATATAGTTCCTTCATTGCTGCCAAAACAATTGGTTTTGTTAGGTTGTGTGATAAAAAGTTAGTCTCTGCATACACAGAGGAGTACAGAGGAACAACAGTGGCTGGGGGAACCCCAGAGGTACCCTGGCAAGGCATTTGCAGGCACATTGCAGGAGAGCCATCAGCCCTTTGATGGTTCATCTCCCCACCGAAGAAGCACAGAGGCACGGCACCAGCAGGTCACCCTAATAACCCATCAGAGAAATGGTTACTTGCCCAGAGCCCTCCAGAGCGTCACAGAAAGGTGATGGCCCCTTGAGCTGGGTGGGACATCCATTACATGAGTTAAGGTGAGAGGCTCTCCAGAGAACCTTTCAGACCATACAGGCAACACTTGCAGGTATGGGACACACCATGGGCTGCAGATTAATAGCCCAGTGCAAGAAGTTTAGGGTAGGAACCAAAGGCAGGGAAAACAAGGGACTGAGGCATTTTGGGAGGAACAAGGGTGGGAAAATACAGGATTTAAGGGGCTAAAAGGAGCTGATCACACATAAGCAGCTGGTCAGTATGCTTGTCTGTGCCGCATCAGTGCAGCCCATCCTGGCTTCTCATTCAGATCCATTTCCAACTGTTTTCCTGTATGTGTGTGTGCGTGCGTGTATGTTTGTCTCTGTGTGCGTCTCTGTGTGTATGTCTGTGTCTGTGTATTTGGGGGTCTGAGCGCCAGCAGCTGGACCACAGGTCACGGGGCCATGTGGCTGCCAGCAGGGCATGTGGCTTGGAGGAGTGTGTGTGTGTGTGTGTGTGTGTGTGCGCGCTTAGGGGGTCTGTATGAGACGCTAGTGTGGGGTTCTGGGCCTCAAGGGCTGCTTGCTTGCCCCAGTCCCAGCAGGATCAGAGGCCAGTTACTGACTGGACTAAGCCTAAGCTCAGCTACTGAGGGGATGCCTACTGCATGAGTATCTATGTATGTAATTCTCACTGACAGAGCTCCATCTGGATCAGCCAGAGAAGGGAGCAGGATGAGGGAAATGGTGTTTGTGTAAGTGCTGTGGTTTCTGCTGAGGCTCGGCTGCATGGCTGGTGCTGTATTTATGTGTATAGGTGCTGTATACGTGTGTGCACAATCACATCTATTGCAAACAGATGCTGTTGGTTGGCCCTGGGAGCAGGGACCTGCACCTGCCTCCTCTGTGTTGTTGGACTGGTGGATTCAGCAACATAAACCAGGTTTTGCGCTGATTTTTCTTGTACAAAATCCATGCCTGTTTGTACATTCACTTTTTTGGATTCAAGTGATTTTGAAAACAGCTATTAATTTTTATGTGCGTTTGCAGTTGATGTTAAATGTTTTTTGTGGTGGTGTTCCTGGCAATCTTACCAATACAAAGAGCCAAATACAAGTAAATTCAGGAAAACAGAAATGGCCTTAGGGTCTCCTTACCCATAGACCAAAACAATGTGGACAGGCAAAACCCGGCTGCTGGCACTGACACAATACCTGGCAACCCTGGGAGCCGATAGACCAAGAAAATTGGCTTTGATTTGCTAGAGCTGCACACATAATTTTTAAACATATAAAGATGCCCCACTGAAATAGCTGAAACCACTCACACATTTCAGTCCTCTGTGCCCTGTAAGAACCAGCTTTTTACAATATTGGTCTTTTGATTACCACCGAATGCATGTGATTTTCTCAGCTCTCTCCTGGATTGATTATACTTGCTTAATTTCAAGTGTGTGTTGTTGGAAGGGATCTTTTGTGTTAAAATAGTTTATGAGTAGTTGGCTATTCATGTTCTCTAGTTAGGCTTTTACTAATACCTGTCACTTCTAGACCCAAAGCCCTATTATTCATCTTGCCTGCAGTACGAGCAGTGTTAACAACTGCAACAGTGAGCTCTGCACCTGCAGCCCCCCTGCTTATAAAATCTATTTCACACTCTCTGGAGCAGCATTTGTTAAGATCAAGTTAACAAACTCTTCAAACCTGGCACCTCAGAGGCCTGGGCACCTACTATAGGCTTTATAGGTTTTAATATGTGAGGTTTTTAATATGTGAGCAATATATTATCTCCTGTGAATTACTATATACAGACGAAATGCAGCTACTGAACTTTTTGAAAATGAACAGTTGGTTATCTAGCTCACCATTTTGTCATGACATCATACTTCCTAATTTCCCTGACCCCTCAGGGAGACAGAAAAGTGGTATAAGGGAACATGAAATCACAGTCACTTCAGTTTTTCTGGTGATCTGAGTCTGTCACTTAATTTCTATGTGGCCTCACTCTACAGAGGAGTGCTGCTGCAGTAATAGCCCTTCATCAGGCTCAGAACAGCAGAGCTGGGACCAGTGCTGGGGGTTTGCAGTTTGATTTTCGTGTGGCACTGGGCATTAGCCTCTTAGAATTCATTCCCAGTTGCAGCATCTCAAAATCAAATCCCCACAAGTCATTGGTGGCATTAAAAGATCTTGGCCATTTTGCATAACATTATTGGGTTTTAATGTCCATTTACATGATGAAGTAATTTTTACTCTATGTCTTAAATCCAGGTGCAATGTCTAAGACAGCAAAAAGCATCAGAACAAAATGGTTTCACTTTTCTTCAAAGGCAGTTTGTGGTTTTGAAGAGAACAAACACTAAACTATTTTGCTGTGCTCCAAGAAAAAAAACACAAAACCAAACACAAGTAAAACCCACCCAGGCATATTATTTCTCACTTTAGGCAGGACTGATATTCTGTATCTTCTTTTCACAGGGTCAGTAACCATCACCAATGAGACAGAGTTCTGTGGCAGGGGCACCCGCCCCTTCCCAAGCTCACTAC